AGATATTAACTGGTAAATTCGTGCTCTCTAAGACTCTATATCTAAAGGTGTTCCCTTTCATTAAAAAAAAAAAAAAAAAAAAAAAACGTGAAAAGAGAAAGGGAAACAAAAAGTCTAATGAGTCTTAGATTGTCGAAAATTATGGAGCAATGAGCAACCACTATTCGTTTAAGGAGCTATTGTTTTGAAAGATTTACAAAAATCTAAGTCTGGGGGAGTTTGGAGAGAACTTGAGGAAGAAAACCACGAATCTATGAAAAGAAGAAAGTGACTGAAAACTGTGGATACCAACAGCTTCACTCTCTCTTGTGGTTTTGCATAATGTCCTGCATCCTCCAGATCTTCAGGTAACCATTAAACACTTTAAGCCATACCCCCAAATAATCCTTCTTTACACCTAGCCTAGATTGCCTTGCCTAGATTTTCTTTGATGAGAACAACCGAGATTTTTAATGAATGTTAAGAGCTAGTTGACTGGAAGTTAGATCTTAGTGCATAGATTTCTGCATGACGGATTAACGGACTAGTTATGCCTGTATTGCTAGTGAGAATTTTCTAGGCTATTCCCGATTGATGCATACTGATTCATATTGGTCTAGAAGTTTGGTCTCTGAAATTTTGTTTAGTTCCTGCGTTTTCAAACCTCTCGCCGAGATTTAGCCTTTGTTTTGTTTGAGGACAAACAAAAGACTAAGTCTGGGGGAGTTGATAACACCGGATTTTGACCATTTTTATGGATCATTTTAATATCTTTTACAGGTGTTTTTACTCCATTTTCAAAGGTTTTCAAAGGATTTCTATGTTTCCGGATTTTAAAAGATTTTTCAGGTAATTTGGGATAAAGAGGGAAAAAATGGAACAAAAAGACTCTTTTGGATAAATGCAGACCGTCAGAACTCTCATGGAGAGACGAAGACCTTCTCACCGTCTGATCACCCTCAAAATTGGACAACTTATAGAAGAATCAACCAGCTTTCAAATGCACTTGGTTTGGAGACATTCCAACGGTTGGATCTCAAGATATTCCATTAGCCCCAGAGCCACGCGGAGTCGGCCAGCAACTCACGCGACCGCGGCCAACAAGCTATTTGCCGCGGTCAGAAGCTTCCAGACCGCGGACAACAAGCCAATTGCCGCGGTCACAACACTCCCGACCGCGGCATTCAACCTCCGACTTAAAGCCCACTTATCTGAAGCCCAAAGTCATTCCCAGCCTCAATTTCGGAACTCTAGAGACCATGGAGTATTGGAGACTATAAATACATGTCATTTAGGTCGTTTTTAGGGAGAGCTTTTCATACTTTACAGAAACCCTTTTCCTTTAGCCGTTTTTATGAGATTTTTGTAGAAGATTGTTCAAGTCCGAGTTCTTCAATAGAGAAGCTTTCTTTATCTCTTTTCTTTACTGTTTTTCATTACTTTTACTAAAACCAATGATGATGTCGAACTCAGCCATGTCTGAGTAGATCCCGAGTTGGGCTTAGGGTTCCCGAAAGGGGCTCTCATAATCGATTAAGACATCTAGGTTTATAGATCTCGGATTTCGACCTGTTCTCTGTTTATTCTTGTTCTTATTGCATGTATGCTTGATTGATCACCTAATATCTGATCTAGATAATTAGTGTTCCGAAAGTTTTCATTAAGTATCAGCCCTAGAATGAAACAGGCAATTTTTCCGTAGGAGTGGAAACCTACCTACGGCGAGATCGTGAGTATTGACGAGTCTTTTGCAGCTCTTGTGTTCTCTCCCTTCCAGGGCCAGAGTGGAAACCTACTGGTCAGGGTTGCGAGAAACAGTTGGTTATGATCACGACAGTGACGTAGTCATACCGCCGTACTCTAGCTCTAGAACCCATATATTGTTATCCGTCAATCCCAATCTATCTACACTAATGTTAAAACCGATTATGATCCCTTAGAGTTCCCAAAAGCTCAGCGTTTTTAGCCATAGTTTACAATTCCATCGATTTTACTTGCTTTCTTAGACCTGCATTTCAATTTCCTTAGTTCATTATTTACTTGCTTTATTTACCTTTCATGCGATATTTTACTTGCCTTATTTTTGTTTAGTTCGATATTTTACTTATTCCATTTGCATTTCATTCGATTTTCCTTACCTGCTTTTTAGGATAGATTTATTTGCTTTCTTTTGTTTTAGTTTAATTCGCAAGAAAAAAAACCAACCTTTAAAACCAATTTAGTCTAGACATAAAGTTAAAAACCGTAGAAGAATACCAGGCACACAAATCTCTGTGGATTCGATCCCTAAATACTACAACTGATTAGCTGTGCACTTGCGGCTTTCATTTGTTTTGTTAAGGGTAAAACTTGTTCCCTCACGTAGTTGACACGAGCACGCATCACACTCCTACTTGGGCGTGCGGCTAAGACAAAGCGATTTAAGTCTCACAAGATAAGTTCTTCATCTACTGCGACTTGGGCATGCTACCTGGGAGACACTGGACCAACCCGCAGTAATTCCACTTTACCCACTAAAGCCGGGTCAGGACCCGGTTTGTTCCGGGCTGACCCGGTTCATTAGCACTTAGTATATATAGCTTTTTGGAGAAAAACCCTAGACATGTTATCTTCTCTCTTAGTTTCTCTCTAGTTTTCTTTGCTTTTTAGTGTAAAAACGTTTTTGATTAAGAGATATCTCAAGGATTTAATCAATCTAAGTCTGTTTCTTATCATCTCATCATATCATTTCTACTTCTAATCATGATTAACATCATCTCTTGCAAAAGATTAGATGTGTTCTTCATGATTAGTGAGTAGTCATCTTTTTAAACTTCTAGGTGTGTAGATTAGGGTGCTTAGATGTTTGATTTGTGATGTTTAGGGTTTAGATTCTCATTTCATTTTCTTAGTTAGCTGCTCCTAATGCCAGATTTTCTTGGGAAAGTGAAATCTGGGTTCATAGGCATTTCATGCACCAAAAGTGTTTGATGAAATGCCTGAAAGAGCTAACTTAAGGGTTTATGTTTTAAATGCCATGGGAATGTTTGTTTGAAGCATAAATGACAAATTATAACTGTGTCTTAATGCTCATTAGTTCATATTTCACAAATGAGAATTTGGTTTGAAAGTGGATTAGTGTAGAGATTAATGCCTTCATGACAGGATTAGTCTAGATTAGAGTTCTAAGTTGAAATGGTTGAGATCATGTGATTGCTTGTTATGTCTTTCTGTATAAGATTCAGTCTTCTTGGTTGAGAGATTGTTTGGTCACTTATTAGGCTTGATGCATTATGCTTGTTGATTGCTTGATTATATCTAATGGTTGTTAGACTTGATTAAGTGATTAGCAAAGGGATTATTGTCATGGGAATGAATTAATCTGATTAAGAAGCCTGGACTAAAGAGTAGCAAGTGTTGAATTATGTTCTTAGCATCATGAATCAATATCTAAAGCACCCTAATCAATGATCACATCTAGAGGTTTATCTTTTATCATTTGCTTAATCATCATCACTTTGTTTTGTTTGCTTGCTTTGTTTAGTTCATTCATAATAGCTTGCTTGTTTCTTGTTTTATGCTTTCTTGTTACTTTGTTCACACCAAAACTCATCTTTGATTACTTGACTTAAGAACTTGTCACATAAACTAGTGCCTAACTACCACACATATGGATTGACACCCCTTATACTACTTTGACAAGGGGATTGATAACCCATCTAAGAACAAAAAAATCTTAGTTATCAATTGGCGCCGTTGCCATATTGTGTGGGGATTGTTAGCATTAGTTTCTTATATAGTTTTTGAGATCAAGTTTCTTTTGTTTTACTGATCACCTTTAAAGTTCTGTCTTTGTTCTCAGGTTTATGATCACAAGAAGCCAAGCCAGAAGCCAAAGAGAAAGAGCTGTTCACTTGGAGAGGTTAGGAATGAATCAGCAAGTTGGGAATGAGCATCAGGCTCAAGAAGCTGATCAAGGTCAAAGAGCTTGTAATGGGATTGGAATTCAGGCTCAACAGGCTCAGGTCCATCAGGGACACGCTCAAGGTAACCAGAACCAAGACCGACCTCAGGTTAATCCACCACAGCCCCACCCAAACCCACCCATAGGTCATCAGCCTCCACCAGTCTTTGTTGGTGAGAATGACCGAGCTTATGCACACCAGCATGGAGCAGGAATCAGGCCACCTCCTGTCCAAAACAACAACTTTGAGGTGAAGGCATCTTTGATCAATATGGTTCAGAATCAGAAGTTCCATGGCTTACCTATGGAGGATCCCTTGGAGCATCTGGATCAGTTTGACAGAGTTTGTGATCTCAGTAAGATGAATTGGGTATCTGAAGACAGCTTCAAACTGAGATTGTTCCCATTCAGCCTTGGAGATAAAGCACATCAGTGGGAAACTATGTTCCTTCGGCCTATATGTGCCTATGCAGGAATGGGATAAAGTCAGGTGTTGCAGATATGACAAGGAAAAGATAAGTTTCTGAGAAACTATTCTTTTCTTTAATTTTCATATCTCTTGACTTGGGTTTGATGAATGTTTATACTTTAATGTAGGTTAAGGCTACTCGGTTGAATGCATCTTACGGCTAAGTCTACTGCTGTGTAATCACATCACTCACCCATTGTTAAAGAGGTCAGTCTTATCCTAACACTGTGATAAGTGGTGTAGTAAATGCTTAAGTATTTAAGTTGTATGTACGTAAATAGATATAGGTTAATAAGGAAAGAGATATAGGTGAAGTAGTTTAAGACTTGGTCGTAAATGCTTAGTGTAGATTAGATAACGGTCATAAATTGTAACACTTTGATAAGTATTAAATTGTTGTTAGGTTGATGTCTTGTCTCTCTTTAATCTCTCTCTCTCTCATCTCTCTCTTTAATCCTTTCAACTCATCTCTCTTTTTAATCTCTCTCTCTTTAATCCTTTTAACTCATCTCAACTCATCTATCTCTTTAAACCTCTCGACTTCAATCCTCCAATATCTCATTCCTTCTTCATTGTCTTTCTTTCATCTCTGTCTCCTCCTTTGTCGAAATGGATTTGCATTCGGGTTTTCCATTTTCACACACCTCCAAATTCGTGGACTTGTTGAACAGTCAACATGATAATGAAGCTTCGGATCATGTTCTCGTGTTCAGTACTCAGTGTACTCAGCCTTCACAGATTGGTGATACGAATGGGACTTCTGGAAGGAAGTCTTGGTCACCGTACGAGGATGTTCTCCTCATCAGCTCATGGCTGAACACCTCAAAAGACCCTATTGTGGGCAATGATCAACGTTCAAGAGCCTTTTGGAAGCGGATTGCTTCATACTATGCAAATAGTTTGAAGCCAGGATGTGAACCACACAGTGCAAGACAGTGTAAGCAAAGGTGGCACAAAATGAATGACCTCGTTTGCAAGTTCTGTGGCGCGTATGAGACGGATTCAAGAGATACAACGAGTGGGCAGAATGACAACGACATGCTGAAGGTGGCGCACCAGATATTCTTCAGCGATCAGAAGAAGTTTAACTTGGAGCATGCATGGAACGAGTTGAAGAACGACCAAAAATGGGCTGAGCTTTCCACAACCAAAACTGATGCAAACTCTAAAAAAAGAAGGGCAGAGGAGAGTTCACAGTCGCCAACTGGGAATGCAGAAGACGATCAAAGAAGTGCAGAGGATGGTCAAGCAAACACACAGCCACCTGGTGTCAAGGCTGCGAAGGCAAAAGGGAAGAAGGTCACAGCAGAGGCCAACAAAGCCATGATGACTGAGTTCGAGAGGATGTGGGCCTGCAAGGAAAAAGAACTTGCCATGAAACGAGATGTGGCAAAAATGGGGCTTCTTGACTTTCTAATGAAGAAGGAAACGTTAAACAAAAGGGAAGAAGGCCTGAAGCAGAAACTACTCACAGATTTGATGTCCACTTAGGTATGTTTTTGAGTTTACTCCCTTTGTGATGTTGGGCTTTCTTGTTTCTTTCATATGTTGTACACTTATCTTGCTTTTGATTGGGAAATTTCACTTTTTTTGCAGGCACATGCGGATAGGATTCTCACCACAAGCGTAGTCGGCAGAAGAAGACATGAATGGGCCATGTCGTGTTGTTTTTTCTGTTTGGAAAAAGCTCACATGTTTGATTCTCTTATGTATTATTTGTACATGGTGTTCTTTTCACCACAAGTTTGTAATCGTTTGTAAACCACAATATTTCTACTCTCTTGTTCTATTTATATGCTTCCATTTGTATCATTGTAATGTATCCGACTTGGTGTTTTTTTTGCAACTCTCTTCTTCTTATTGCTACTCGTTTATTCTTATTGCTACTCTTTCCTCTTGTTCATCATTTTAAACTCTTCTCTTGTTCATCATTTTAAACTCTTCTCTTGTTCAACAACGCTGTGATGACTTGATGTTTAAACTCTTCTCTTGTTCCTCATTTTAAACACCTTGTTCATCTTTCTAGTTTCAAACACCAAACATATAAAAAAAACATATGGCATCTTCTTCTTCCAACAACAATTTTGATGGATCTTCTTCAAACATCAATTTTTATGGATCTTATGAAGAAAGTTATTTTGATGGATCTTCTTAAAACTTCAATGTTGATGGATCTTATTCAAACACCAATTATGATGCATCTTATTCAAACATCAATTTTGATAGATGATATCCAAACCTCAATTTTGATGGATCTTCCTCAAACAACAATTTTCATGGATCCATTGATGAAGCTTTTGAGCGACGGTTGATCAACTATTTGATCAAACTTTAGACAAACTTTTCATTGAATATGGAAATCGTTTGGAAGCACCAAAAACAAGGAAAAACGAGCTTACATCGAAAGAGATCATGAAGAAGGGCACAATCGGTTATGGAACATTTACTTCAGTGATGCTGCAACGTATCCTCCTAATTTATTCCGGCGACGTTTTAGGATGAACAAGCATTTATTCTTACATATCGTCGAGAAACTATCTACTGAAGTTCAATACTTCCTTTAGAAAAAAGATGGTCTACGAAGTTTAGTCTCTCTCCACTCCAAAAATATACAGCCGCCATTCGTCTACTGGCATATGGAACAGCGACCGATACGGTGGACGAATATCTCCGACTTGGTGAAACCACCGCTCGTGCATGTTTGGAATATTTTGTCGAAGCCATTATTAATTTGTTTGGTGATGAGTACTTAAGAAGACCCACACCAGAGGACCTTCAACGCTTACTCTATATTGGAGAGGAACGAGGATTTCCCGGAATGATAGGCAACATCGACTGTATGCATTGGGAGTGGAAGAATTACCCTACCGCTTGGAAAGGACAATTTTCTCGTGGTGCGGGAAAACCAACAATCGTGTTAGAGACAGTAGCTTCATATGATCTTTGGATATGGCATGCTTTTTTCGGACCTCCAGGTACCTTAAACGATATAAATGTTCTTGATCGTTTACCAGTTTTTGATGACATAATTCAAGGTAAATCACCAACAGTCAACTATACCGTCAATGGAAGGGAGTATAATTTGGCGTACTATCTCACAGATGGTATTTATCCAAAATGGGCAACTATTATACAATCTATTTCACTTCCCCAATCTTTGAAGGCACGTTGTTTTGTGGAGCGTTAAGAAGGTGCCCGAAAAGATGTAGAGCGAGCATTTGGAGTCTTGCAATATCGCTTTGCCATTGTCAAAAATCCGGAACTTTTTTGGGATAAATAGAAAATTGGAAAGATTATGAGAGTCATCATCCATAATATGATTGTAGAAGATGAAAGAGAAGGATACAATCTATTAGATACTATTGCAGAATTTCAACCAGGAGACGAAAGCGGAAATTCTAATGTGGATATGTCGTATTCCACTGCCATGGTTTCAAATATTACCGATATGCTGACAGCTTAGAAAAAAGTTTGTGATAAACAGCAGCATCATCAATTGAAATCTGATCTGGTCGAATATGTATGGCAATGATTTGGACATTATTATGATAACAACTAAATTTTATAGCAAATTTTATGTTTTATTTGTATTAATCCATTGTATTAAATCATATAATTATGTTTTTCAAATAAATTATTATTATAATAATATTTTTTAGAAACCTTATCCGGTTTCTAGCAATGTTCAGCAAAAAAACACGGTCTCTACAGAGTCTCTAAAATCAGTCTTCAAACCAAAAAATATAATAAGAAAATGGTGAAGAGACCCATTTGGGTCTTTGGGATGAGGATGCTCTGAGACTCTAAACTTGGACTAAAAATGCAATCCTAAACATGTAAATTATGAATAAATCAGAACCCTCCGTGTATTCGCTGTCACCAAAATTTTCATCGCCTTCCAAAAGGTCAGCCCCTTGTTTTATGTTCTTGGTTCTTGATACGGCTGAGTTAGTTGCACCCTCTCAAGCTTCTTCCTTATGCAGATTCTGGGGATCAAGAGGTTTCTGACGCCTCATCTACTAGTGCTCCACGACCCTTAACTCGCAACAACCGCAGAGGTATCCCTCGAAGATCCTCAGCTCGCGAGTTTGAAAAGGCTAGGAAGGGCAAGGATCCGGCTAGGAGCACTGAGTCCGTTCGAGCAGACCAGATCAGGAAAGCTGTGAACGACGCAATAGGGTAAGACTCTGATACTTTCGAGACTCCCAAGATCGACCTCACAGTTGATCCAGCGCGTCAGAAAAACTTGATCGGCTCGTAGGATTCTGAGAAAACTTTGCAGACCAAGAAGCTGAGGGTTGGGGATCGAACTCCTGATCGGAGATCGAATTCTTCGAATGGATCGAAGGATATTGTCCCTTACAGTTCTAGTTTCAACCATGTCAAGAGGTGCCCCATAGTCGACGATCCTGAAGAAGTTGTCTTCCTGCTGCGCCATTTAAGGCCAGCAGGTTCCGTGTTACCTCTTGTGAGGGATATATGGAGCGCGCAGTGTACATCAAGATGATGGATGCTTATGGCAAGGTAAGCTTCATTTTCTTCATTGACTAGTTTGACTGTGATAGATAGTAATCTGTTCTTCTTTCTTTTGTAGTCCTTGAAGGCCAACAATGAGAATGCTGCTGTGCTTGATGGGCACTCCAGAAATCTGCCTTCCGTGGAGGAGCTTGTGGAAATGAAGAAGACGATGTTTGACCTTAGCTCGAAGATGAAAGCTTCGGAGGAGAGGGAGAAACGTCTGGATAACCAGCTCCTCTCTACTAAGACGTCGGCAAACTCTACTGCTCGATATGTTGAATACTTGGCCGAGAAGATGCGGAAGCTCAAGGACGACTGCAACACAAAGGTCTTGCGGACAAGTATTTCACTATCTTAAGGTTCCTCAGGGATAAGTTGGAGAAGAAACAGCATGAGGCAGCATGTGAGGCTGAGCTTGAGGAGGACGAGTCGAACGTCATCCTTCTCAAGGACATCTTAAGTGGCGAGCTTTCGGTGATTGCAGAGTATGCTCGTCTTGAGGAGAAGATCCTTGTGCTTACCAAGAATTACAATGCCGCTGAGTTATCAGACTTCTCCCTTGCTAAACTTGATCTTCCCAGATCTCGGAGACGTCGATGAGGCTGATGGAGATTGACCCAGCGACTCAAGTGTCTAAGGAGTGATCTGCCTATTTTTCTTTTACTCCCTCTCATCTTTTGCTTCCTTTTGAACTTGGTTGCCTTTAAAGACTTTGTCTTTTGTTTTCTTTCGTAGTACTTCTTTGTTTCTTGCAGTATTTTGGTACTCCGGAGGGTTTTAATCCTTTTAAATTTTTTAGCTCGGGAGGGCTATGCTTTCTGTTTCACTTGCGTGCATTTTACTTATCTTATCCGAGCCTTTGCGGAAATTAGAAGTATCTTTACTAATCTTTAACTTGCCAGCTAAGGCTTTTTTTAGTAAAGGTTAATAAGACTTATTACTTTTGTTTTGAAGGTTTGTAAACTTCGGCAATTTGATTGTTTTTAAAGATCAGATGGTGTTAAATAGCGATTACCGAAATCGGTTTGTAATTTTATTTGTAAGCGCTAAGTTACACAGAGAACGACAAACTAAATTATCATTTTAGAGATCAAAGTGCACTGCGGATAAATACGTGCATCGGGCAACTCAGAGATCGATAGAAGATAACTTACTACGAATAGAAAACTTGTTGAGACTTTGTTTGGTAACATCTTTACTCAGAAAACTACGAATTGCAAGTCATGAGACTGTTTAAGGAGGCATACTGAAAATTGAGACTGTTTGGTGTAGTTGTGGCTTGGCGAATTTTCAGTTAAAAATATCGTTTTAAGAAATCAAGAGTCGAAGTTTTGAAATATAGTTTTTATTCACAAAATACCATTACACATACTTGTAAGAGTTTTACAAATTATCTAAGTATGTAGGATGGTGGCTGGACATGGTGTCGAGCTGCCTACGTATCCCATCAATGGATCAAGCCTTTATGTAGTTCGATTATTGTCGGTACTCAGATGTGGTAACGTTTAAGGTTCATAACGTTCCACGGCCTCTTCTCATGTACTCTTGTTGTGGTGTTTTCAAGCTTATAGACACCGTTGCGGACTATATCGACAATTTTGTAGGGGCCCTCCCAGTTAGTGCTTAACTTTCTGACGCCTCACTCTTTGGTGTTTTCGAAAACCTTGCTTAGAACAAAGTCATTGATGTTAAAGCTTCGACGTTTTATGCCAGATTTGTAGTGTCAGGCAGCAGCTTGCTGGTAGTTCTGGATTCGGACTAGGCTAGATCTCTTTGTTCTTCGATCATATCTAGCCGATCTCTTAGCATTTCTACATTGACTTCTCTGTTTTCTGGGCAGAAAGTTTGTCGGATACTCGGTACTGAGGCTTCGGCTGGAACAACTGCTTCCATGCCGTAGGCAAGGTTAAAAGGTGTTTCCCCAATGGCTCTGTGAGGATTGGTTCTACACGCCCAGAGGACTCCTGGGAGCT